GATTGACTCCTCTGGCCTTCCTGTCCCCTAAATTCACTTTTTATGAATCCCAGGATTCTGACCTTGGTTCTCTCTTCAGTCTATACTCCTTATGCAGTCACATCCATCCCCACAATTAAACTACCACCTACATTCTCATTCTCGCACTCTTTCATTTATTTCTCCGATCTTTGTGTGTGTGTGTGTATATCTTATTCAAGCTCCCTTTCCAAGTTTATTTGCCTACCAGATAGTTCCATTTCACTGTCACATGGATACTTCAAAATCAGCATACACATAACTCATCTTTCACTCCCAAATTTGCTTTTCTTATCCTATTCTCTGCTTGGTTGAGGGCAACATACCAGCTTAGTATCCGAAGCCAGTAACATTTGACTCTTCCTTTTCTTTTGCCTCCTATATCTATTCAGTCACCAAGTCCTATCAATTTTACTTCCTTAGCATCTCTCAGATCCAAACTTTCCTTCCATTGCTATAGCCTTAATTCAGTGCTTTTATCATTTACAGCATGGATTTTTCACAATAGCTTTTAGCTGATGACACTCCTGTATTAAATGTACAAATCCATTCATCTTTTCTCTGCCCCTGGCTTAAAGTGACTCTCTATCAGTGATTTCTCTATCACTCCATCAGTGAATTCAGTGACATAAGATAAAGTTCGCAGTTAGCATAACATACAAGGCACCTGTGATCTGGCCCCTAAGTACCTATATGATTTTTTTCTCTTGTCGCTGTCGCCACCCACACCTCCAGTTCGTACATTGCACAGTTCCTTAAGCACACTTTATCTCTTTGCTTTTGCTAGCACGTGCTGATTCCTTTGCCTAAACATCCTTTTTACTTTTTCCTTCCCTTTCCACCTTATAGAATGCACTGCAATTTTTAACATGTTTGGTTGATTCAGAATTCAGTTGTAAAGGGAAAGGACTTTCTGGATTTGTTTTCTATGGGACTCTGATTTGTCTATTGGGGGAGATTTTCAAATGCTGCTTGTGTACCTAAGGATTAAGTCCTCTAAACAGAAACTCTTTGTCTCTAACAGTCTTTATTTAAACATCTCACCCATCTTCTCTCTGTGCACCTGTGTGTTTGTCTGTGTGTGTGTGTGTGTGTGTGTGGTGGGGACCTTTTAGGTTCAAGTAATACTCTTCACCTAATGATATACTATCCTCATCAGTCTGTATAAGACCTTTCTCTTTTTATTGCTTTTCCCTTTTTCATCCCATTTCCCATTTCAATTTCTTTTTTCTTTTTTATATGTAAATTTTGAGGCTTTATATTTTATCAGAAATTGATCTAAGTCAGTGCTTCCCATTCCCATCATGGTATTGCACACATAGAAAATAATATGTGTATTGCACAGTATATTAGGCCAAAGGCCATACAGACTAAGGGTTTCTGGGTACCACAGATCTCATGGACCACCCTAAGAGCTAAGCAGCCAGCTTAAGTATAACCCACCTATGTTAACACCTACTGAAGCCTGATTGAGATTTTCAGTGTATTTATGAATAGTTTATATCCGCCAGTGATGTTGCACTGCGTCACAAAGATATAATTGTTGGTATAGCTTCTGTCTTTGGTATGAAAAAGCAAAGTAATAAGTAATTCCATCTTAATTAACCTTGGCTTAAGTTAGCTGCTGTCGTGTATCTGGAGGGCAGGAAAAGGGTAGAATAAAATGATCTCTACAAACTAGGACAGATATGTCACCGTCAAGTTAAGTCACCAGACTCATGTTCCTGGAGTGGCAGGTTGAAAGGAGTAGCTTACCGTAGACCACCAAATGCCTACTTATTCAGACCTGCAGACAAGGAAAGTCTGGTCTTACAATTATTTTTAAAACTTGGGCAACAGGTTGATCCTACAGAGGACAGAAAATCACAAGATAAGTTTGATTTCTCATTGTAATCTGACACAGCAGTTTTTAAAATAAGATGTCAGAAATCTTAAAAATGATCAAGGACCCCAGAGAGTTTTTGTTTATATGGATAATATCTATTAATATGTACTGTTTCAGAAACTAAAATGGAAAAAAGTAATATATATATTTATAATTCATTTATAAACAACAAATTGGTTATATTGGTACTATAACGTGAAAATAATTATTTTCCCAAAAATGGTGAGAAAGTTTTATTTTACAGTTATGCAAGTTCTTTAATATCTGGCAGCTGTATTATCAGCTTCTGCATTCAGTGTGTTGTGATATGTCATACAACCTGTGGAAGGTTCCACTGTTACTTATGAGAGAATGAGAGAGAAAAGAATTATTATGAAGTTAGAGAATTAATATAATAGTTTTGACCTTGCAGACCTCCTAAAAGGATCTCTGAGACCCCTGAGAATCTCCAGAGCACACACTGAGAAGTGCCAATCTAGCAGAAAAGATGAATGCCAGGTGACTGATATAAAATGAATATGTGATTGGGGAAGACAGTGTAGCTCAAAGACAAATAGGGACTCTGTGGCATCTTACTACATTGATGGATGGTGACTGCAATGGGGTATGGGGGGGACTTGATAATAAGGGTGAATGTAATAACCACATTGTTTTTCTTGTGACATAAGAGCGTATATCAATGATACCTTAATAAAAAAAAAGAAAAAAATGAATACATGATTGAGTCTGAACTCTCAAAGTTCTGATTTAAAATAATTTCACTTTCTTAAGGTAATTCATTAAATACATAAACCTGTGTATTTAATTTTCTTATCACAGAAAAAAATTAGTTTCCAAGCACAAGATCTTATTTTTGGTTTTGAGTTTCAATAAATGTGTATCAAATAAATAAATTGTCTTAGCGTCTGAACAGCTATAGCTGACTGGATGCCAGCCAGTAATTTATGTCTTCCATTGAACTCTAAACTAATGAGGGCAGGATGTAAGCTAATGACAACTCTAGGATATTAGGTCCATTCCAAGGTCCAGATAATAAAAAAAAATTATCTTGGCTCCACCCAGGTGAGCAGGATACAAATCTGTACCTGTTGTATGAGAGACTATTTCTTATTCTCATCTTCTGATGGTGGTACCATCAGGGAGTACCCAGACTGAACTTTCTAGTAAAAATAATAACTGCCTTTTAATGAATGTTTACTAAAGTATCAGGTGCTGGGTTAGGCATGCATCATGTAATTTCCTCTTTAACCCTGTGATGTAGAGATTGTTATCCTTATTCTATAGTTGAGTAACTTTCACAAAGTCTCTTAGCTGGTAAAATCTGTCTCAAGGGCCTATAATCACCTGACTGCCTCTGGATTGAAGAAGAGGCCTGGATCATGGGGTAAGAGTAGGAATTGGAAAGGATATATTTTTTGGTTTTGAATCTACTTTATACAATTCATGTAGCCAGGAGGTGATGAAGGAGCAGAGAGGGATGACTCAGTGCTTTATCTCTGATATGGCACCAACTCAACAGCAGAGAATGACTGCCTTTAATTACTCATCTGAATCCTGATCAGTCCTGGGTCCAAACAGCTCAAATAGAACAAGGGTGTGATTTGCTAGACCTGTCACTTGACAGTTACTGAGCAACTGCTGAGCACAGAACCATGTAAATACAAAAGCAGTTTTCTCTGTGCTCATATGGAGTTTAAACATAGTGAGGGCTTAAAATATTTCTACTCAGATAAAATACCAGGAATTATAAAAGTATCTACTAGCATTGGCCTTTGAATAAAACTTTTCTACCACCTATGTAAAAGAGGAAAGAATGGGTTACAGATGTGGCTAACTTTGTGCACTGAATAAATATTTCCCTATGGCTCAGAACTTTGGTGATAAGGGTAAAAGAAGTTCTCATAGAGAAAGATAATAAAGTTTCTTCTTCTTAGTCCCTCCCTTAGAGATAAATTCTGGATTCAAATGCAGATCAAGGAAATAGGTCAAGAGCACTTCATCTTATGCATCCCAGTCATAATTTCATCCTAAGATGCTAGGAGAGCTATAACTGGTTTTGACTTATTCTGAAAGTTGACTTATCCTCAAGCTTTTCCTAGAGCTGATGCTCACAAAAATCTATGGTTGTGGAGGAGAGGGAGCTCTTTCTTGAAGAACCAAGGAATAGTTCCTCCATTTTCAAAGGTCTAAAAGTTAGACATTAATTATAATTTTAAAATACCATGGAATTAAGAAAAATCTTGGAAAGCACCTCATATAACTTCTTTTAGATGCTGAAACCAAGATCCAAGAGCTAAGTGACTTGACCAAGTTTATTTGACTTATTACTGGTCTAGTAATAAGCAACTGACCTGGAACTAGAATGAATACTGTATTTTCTTTCTTATGCTTCTCTTTTGATCAGGTGGCAAAGTAACCATGACCCAGGATATTTGTATTTAGGAAGAGTGCAGTCTCAGTTCTACTCTTATATCTTCTTTTCCCTCCATTTAGATCTTCTCGAGACTTTGATATAAGGCAAACTGCCATTTGTTAAGCACTTCCCTGTGCCAAGGTCTTTGTATACTTTGTCATTGAATACTTAAAGATTCTTATAATGTAGACCAATGCTTCTAACATTTTAACATGTATATGAACCTGGCTCTTGTTAAATGCAGATGCTGATTTTGCAGGTCTGAAATGGCTTCGAGATACTGCATTTCTTAAAGCTTCCAGGAAAAGCTAATAATGCTGTTGTTCTGTGGACCTTACATTGAGTAGCAAGTATATTGATTTTATCTTCATCTTACAGATGAAAACAACCACCTTACAGCATGAAATAAATTGCCCAACTGCCTCAGGCAGTAAATGGCAGACTAGTGATTTGATTTGGGTCTTTCTAACTCTAAAGCTCAAGATGTGATAAGGGAAGCCAGATTAAAATGGAAAGAGAGTTTATGTTCTAATATGTTACTTCTCAAGTGAGTCAGTGGCAGAATCCAGGACTAAATAAGAAAATGTTTCCCTTATTTCCTCCTGTCCATCCCCCATTCCGGATCTTTCCTTCATGTTTAGCAAACCATATATAAAATTGGCCTTTGGGTTTCCTCCATTACAGGTTTATTGCCAAACCCTGTGCACTCCATGTTGGCATCCAGGGCAGTGGTCCTTATCAGGCTCAGACCCATGCCATCCTTGAAAAGGTGTTCATATCTGTTACCAAGGTAAGTGGCAAAGAAACGGGGGTATTCACATGAGGGGTTGCCTCACGGGGCAGGGGAGGATAGAGAGCAAGTGTCTACATAGATGGATAGGATGGGATGAACTTTCACGTGTGGGTAGTCCATAAAGCAAGAAGGGGAACTTTATCCCCTGAGGGACACACCTTTTGGCCAAGATCCCTTTAGTAAGTCAGGTTTACATACATTTGATTTTTAGGCCTAGCAGCCACCATCACCCTTCCTTCCCTAGGCACACATTGTATCTTCATCTTGTTTTTCCCTGCTCCAGCTTCTTTCATTACCTAATTGCATAATCAAGATGGGGATGGTACTGATAGCCTTTGCTGTTTAGGTTTTTAATGTCTTTTTGCACTCAGCTTGGGTTGGAGGGAGAACACCAAACAAGGATGTGTATAGGTGAGTGGTAAAGGCCCTTGGGGTGTGAAGTAGGACTTCTCACTAAATATTACTTTTGGAATGAAATTGGGAAAAGTAAACAGCACTGAAGCCACTGTAGTTATCACCCCTTTGCTGCTCAGCTAGGCAAATGGATTTAATGAGGGGTTTGAACAGAAGGGGATGGATTCTGACTCTGGTCATACATCTACAGTATCCTGATGAGAAAAGGCTAGAGGGCCTGTCAAAGCAACTGGACTGGGATGTCCGAAAAATCCAGTGCTGGTTTCGCCACCGGAGGAATCAGGACAAGCCCCCAACGCTCACTAAATTCTGTGAAAGCATGTAGGTGTGCAGAGGAAGGTGGGGAATGAGGAGAAGGGTGGGGTAATGACTGGACTGTTTTTTTTTTTAGAAATTATGTCTGTTTTTAGGACAACAGTCAATGGATTGTGAAGGGCTAGCCTGATTTATTATAGGCAGGAGAGAACTGGAAGTCTGGTCACCCTCGGTTTCTTAGACATGCTTGCCATTACACTAGATGTAGTTGCATTTTGTTCCCCTCTCCCAAATTGATTAGGAATGATCCCACAACTGTAGATAGATGTGCACACCCTCATACACCTTGGTAGGGATCGTACCAGCTTACTCTAAATAGACATTTTAGTTGGAAGCATCCCTTTTCTGGACATATTACACTGTATTTCACTGCGTTTTTACTAATTATCCTCTGGACATGGTATTTATCATTGTCATGCAAAAAAAATTGGTACTATCATCAGGGAGTCTGATAATGAAGAAAAGTTTATTAAAGCCAGCTCACTTCTGGAAATCTATTCTAAACAGAGTCTGGAAAATGTCTATCTTTTTGGCTTTTAAATAACAGTTACATCTTATTCTGGGAACATATTTCTTACCAGTAACAGTCATATCCCCAAATCTACTACCTTGCCTCCTTAGTCTCAAATAATTTCTTTTGAGTGAATATTCATCTAACCTCTACTCTTTGCCCACCTAGGTGGAGATTCACTTTTTATTTATGTATATTCTGCTACGGAATTAGATTTCTCTGGTCGGTGAGTATGAACTTTTTGAACCTGTGTTGGGTTTTAGTCATGCCTACATCTCTAGCGATAAGAGTTAAGTACTGTTAGATTTTTATTTCCCCCCTCTGTGATGTCTATAGCCAGGGTTTATATGCTAAATCGATTATTTTTTTGTCTGGGACCTGGCTTCAATAACTTCATAACTCTACTATTTCTTCCCTTAAATAAAGCTAATAATAGTAGTATCACTTAAGTCAGCATACTGTGTGATGGTTTACTAAGCACTTGACAAAAATCTTGTTCTTCCGAGGAGGAAACAGAT